ATTCATATGTTAATAACTACAAATCTTCTAAAAAAAATATTAATATCTATAAATAAAATAACATATCAATTATTAAATACTTCAAATTAATATGTAAGTATTTTATTTTATTTTTGTTAAATGCAGATTACCTTCTTTCTTTAAATCGATAGCAATTATCAAATTAAGAAAGCAGTGGATAAATTATTATTTATTATTAAGTAATAGTATTTTAAGAGTATGTTGTTATTATTTTTTATTAAGAGTATTTTTATGCAATAATAATTTAATTTCTATATTTCTCATTATATATTTTATTTTTCAACTGTACGTAATTTCCATTTCACATTAATTAACTTCACTTGTAACTACATGAAGAGTTATATATGCTTTCATGAAGAGTATATAGACATTGTTACTAGAAATCTGAAGCACTTTTCGTAAAATACAAAATAATTGCATTATCTTAAAAACTAACATGTTAGATGAGTCATGTGTTAGAGAATGGAGCATCATCATAGACTCAAAAAATACACAAAAGACAGGATGAAATGATACTTTGCCGACATATATGATTGGTTGCGTATGATATTTGTAAATTATTGCGAAATCAATAGTACCATATATATGCTGCAATGGTAGATAAAGTTGTGGTTCAAAGGGAATTACCAGGTGGGTAAAATTGATATTTATTAAAAAGAAAAATTGAAAGCAACCTAAAGTACTATTAATCTTTATTAGTAACAATATATATATATATATATATATATTTGGAAGTAGGGATAGAAGAGAAAGATAAATACGATAAATAATTTAATAAAATTTAAAAATAAAATAAAAATAAATTAGAAGAAAAAATGTGAATATATCAAGTATTTTCCTTACAACATAAAAACAAACTCAATCAACATGCACCCATATGATGCATCAAATTCACCAAAAACCCCATTTTTCCCAAAACTCCAAAAAATGAGCGAATTTCTCGATCCAACCATGGATACTCGACTTTCATGCATGAATTGAGTCACTAATCTCACATGCAACTAAACGACAAACATTCTAGCTTCCCTCACCTGAAGATTGACTCAAAATAGCCAAGAACTGAAAAGTAGAATTCCCCTCCGAAGCTCAACCCGGAACTTCAATCCACCCAAAGCAAGCTTTCTAATCTGAATTTCAAGATGAGACAGAAGACATTAGTGATCTAGAGGAGAAAAAGAATCATACAGAGAAATTTGGGAGAAAAAGGAGCTCATAGACCCATAGTCCTTCTCTCTAAAACTTCTCTCTAAAAACTTCACTTTCTCCTCAACCACACAACCTCTATTTATAGAAGTTCAAGAGTGGCCAGAATGGCCTGTTTCGAATCTGGAACGACTCGTTCTGCACCCCTTCATCACGTACAAAAATCACATGCAGAACGACCTGTTCTGAAACCAAAATAGCCCGTTCTGGGATTCATCCAGAACGACCCATTCTCCATCCAGAACGACCTGTTCTCCATCCTAAACGGCTCATTCTCAACTACGATTTACAAGTCAATTTAGTAGTTTGGAACGGCCCGTACCAATTTGGGAACGACCCATTCTGGACTACTAAATCACCCATATTGGGCTTTTGGGCCTTCTGAAATACTTACTACGTTACACTTAAGACTTTTTTTATATACATTAGAAGTTGTCTAGAGAATTTCTTAAAATTATTTAATGCTTAAAATAATTATGATGTGACAAGTATGTAATTGAAATGTGATGGATATAATATGATGTGATTTGATGTTGTTCATGTACTTTATGATCAAGGTGCCTCTATGGAATGCAATGCTGATGTTGTATTGGTATGTTGCTATTAATGTAATCATATGTGGTGTTGGAAGGATGTTTTATGAATATGCTAGGTGATTTTAGTAATTATGTAAAATATTGAGTTATTAGGCGAAATAAGTTTATAGTTTATATAAACTTACTCTTAAAATAAATATATTCCTCTTTATTATATAGTGTATACATCCAAGTGTTGTGAATATATTAATCCTATGTATTTAATTATTTTTTCGCTACTTATAATTGATTTTATTAAATGAGGGGACCTTGATGATTTGTTACTAACATTGTCTTTATTGGAGAGAAAGTTCCATTCTATCAAAGCATTAAATTGATTAATCTTTCTCATTTATATATTATTCGATATGTTTAATTATATCTTATAATCTTATTCACAATTAAACTCCAACAGTTTTTAGTTTTATAATTAAGTAAAACAAAAATTCCAAGAAGTGGTAAGAATGATTATGTAATTTTACACTATGTAATAAAATGTAAAATTATTAAAATGAACTATAAAATCCATATAGAATAGTCAATATTTTGTTTAGTATAAAAATGATTTTTATGTTTAAGAGTATTAGAGTAGTGATTTCGTTAAAAAAAAAATTGGAATGAATATTTGGTGATAAGTTATTATTTTTTTATTCATATGTTAATAACTATAAATATTCTAAAAAAATATTAATATCTATAAATAAAATAACATATCAATTATTAAATACTTCAAATTAATATGTAAGTATTTTATTTTATTTTTGTTAAATGCAGATTACCTTCTTTCTTTAAATCGATAGCAATTATCAAATTAAGAAAGCAGTGGATAAATTATTATTTATTATTAAGTAATAGTATTTTAAGAGTATGTTGTTATTATTTTTTATTAAGAGTATTTTTATGCAATAATAATTTAATTTCTATATTTCTCATTATATATTTTATTTTTCAACTGTACGTAATTTCCATTTCACATTAATTAACTTCACTTGTAACTATAATGAATTGAAGAGTTATATCTGCTTTCATGAAGAGTATATAGACATTGTTACTAGAAATCTGAAGCACTTTTCGTAAAATACAAAATAATTGCATTATGTTAAAAACTAACATGTTAGATGATTCATGTGTTAGAGAATGGAGCATCATCATAGACTCAAAAAATACAAAAAATACAGGATGAAATGATACTTTGCCGACATATATGATTGGTTGCGTATGATATTTGTAAATTATTGCGAAATCAATAGTACCATATATATGCTGCAAGTGGTGGATAAAGTTGTGGTTCAAAGGGAATTACCAGGTGGGAAAATTTGATATTTATTAAAAAGAAAAATTGAAAGCAACCTAAAGTACTATTAATCTTTATTAGCAACAAAATATATATATATATATATATATTTGGAAGTAGGGATAGAAGAGAAAGATAAATACGATAAATAATTTAATAAAATTTAAAAATAAAATAAAAATAAATTAGAAGAAAAAATGTGAATATATCAAGTATTTTCCTCTTAAAACGAATGCAAATAGTCTAAATTATGAGTCAAATTTAATATAAACTAAAAATATTTTGAAAGTTTTCTTAAGAAAAAAAAAGGACTTTTTACATCATGCCATGGCCATTCCTTTGCATATTAGAAAAAGTATTTAGATCAGTAATAGTGCTTGTTATGGTTAAATAATAATAATAATAATAATAATAAGTTGAGAGAGTTTTATTTATATAAAATTGTATGGTATAAAAATTTTACTTTCGATATTTAACTACGATTCTAAATGTCAATACTCTAAGACGAAATCTTAAAAGTCGTATAGGATATATTTATATCATATAATATTATCAAAAGATTTATTAGTTTGGACAACAACTTGGATCCATAAGAATTGATTGTAAGTTAATTATGACTAAGGCAGTGATTTATAGTTTTCCTCAAAAGCAAAAGAAAAAAAAAGTCTATTAAAATGATATTTAACTATTACATGGAAGAATCATATTTGTTTACATATTACTCAACCAAATTTCAAGGAAAGGAATACCTACTGAATGGGAAAAAGAAAGGAGCTAGGCAACTTCTGCTAAAAGAGAGGAATTGGTGAAATGAAAATTAATGCCAAACTTTGATAAGTGGAAGCCATTCTTCATGGAAACACATAAATACTTTATATAGACAATAGTCATAAGGGGGTTAAATTAGTACTTCTTAGAACAAGATTATGGGTAAATTTATTTTGAAAAAAAAAAATCTATGAAAAACGTTTTTCTTAATAAAATAAGTTTTTTTTTTTAAGAAAAATTATGTGTTTATCGAAACTCTTTTTTAAAATAAGATTTTTTTAAGATGCAACTCCTATCTTATTCTTAGAAAATTATTTCTTTAAAGAACTTATTTATATATACTTATTTCTAAGATTAAATAAACAGATGTTATATATTCCTTAGGGTAAGTTAAGAGTTTGTCCAAATCCTCTCAGCATATCAGTTTTATCATGGGAATAAAAGCAATTATATTTTGACAAATTAAGAAGAATATTTGGCAGTCAAATTTAAATTGCTTCATCCAAATAACAATCTAGTTATAGCTAGCTTGTGGCCTATGCCAGAGTTAAAATGATGATAAGGAAAATAAAGATTAATTAAGCAAAATAATTAATGAGTCCAGCAAAACAAGATGCGCTGATAGTAAAAATTTATGCTGCTGTTTCTCGGAAAAATTGAATCAGGAACAGGAAAATAATTTTTTTCCTGTTCCATCCATTTACCTTATCCAAAATTGTACTAGAATTAGTACTTACAATAGCCTAAAAAACTTAACCATGATATTTATACCACTAAATTTCTGGTTTTGCACATAGGAAAATCAGGAGGAATGTGGAATATTAATTATTTTATGAAACAAAAGGTAAAATTCATTCTTTAACATACATTCCTTTTACAATCTTTTGAGCATAAACATTACAAATATTATAATCATCATAAGATATCGAACCACAACGTTCTTAGATTTTTATAGGACAAGGGACAACAATAGTAAGTGACACAAATAGTTGTGTAATTTCATTTCAAGTGGCCCCACCCCATCAAACTTTGGCGCGTCTGTGCAAGACAATAATCATGAAGCACACATGATAAGCTTTCACTTCATTCAACAAAGTTTTGGCTTTAATCAATGGAGTTTTAAAACTTGGATAATTATTATAGGCTTTCAATATCTATTAAAGGAACTTCTAGCTTCCCGCCAAAGAAAAGAACAACACAAACCGTATAAGAACACTCAACTTTGGAACCCACAAGAGCTAGCTACATGTGAAAGAAAAGAATAAATGCTTTTCCCATTTGTTGAAGCTTCACATCTATAGAAGCCTCAAACAACATGCTTCTGTTCAGTTGCCCATTTAAAAATTTAGCATATTATTTTAACCTCTTGCACATCTTTTTTAATTCTTGTTCTGCTAAGAAAATATTGTACTAGCATCCTAGATGGACGTGGAATTGGGACTCAAAATCACTAAAACTAAAGATGACATTGCTTCCATCTCCGAGTATCGATTAGCAAAGGACAAATCAGGACCAATCTTTCAGTCTAGAGAAACAAACAATGTGTTCATCCTCACTGCCCATCTTAAAGGTTAGTTTTCTTGTCACATTTCTAAATAACTGATTTTGTTTTAGAAACTATAAGCATACTATATCAGATGCAATCACTTAAACTTACGAACATTGATTACGTTGAATAACACAAGAAGAGCTTTGTCGCTTATATGTGATTTTATATATATATATATATATAACTGGTTTACTTGTCTTTATTTATTTTTTGTCTTTTATCATTTATGTAATACATCATGGTAAGTTTTCACGCAAACACAGGTTATAAGAGGAATAACATTAACATAAAGATTAGTGAAGATGGTAGTAAGATATCAATTAGTGGAGAGAGGCCAATTCAGAATATTTTGATGATGGGGTGGTTAATGCACAGGAAAGAGGTTGATGTTGTAGGGTTCAATAAGGTTTTCAAAATTCCTGATGGGGTGAAATTGGATGACATCAAAGCAAAGTATGATGAGGAGGACAGGATATTGAATATTTCCATGCCAAAATTGGTTAAAGGAATTTGTGGGGCTAGGATTGAAGAGGTTAAGGAAGAAGAATCTCATAGAGGGGGATCAAAACTAGAGAAAAGAGAAGTTGAACAAACTCCTAGCAGTGTTGGAGAGACAAGTCAAAAAGGATCTAAAGAACCTGAAGTTCAACCAATGGAGGATAGGAAAAGTCTCATAGAGGAGAAGGAGGGAGAAGTATCTGACAAGATGCTTGATGATGCCAATAGGAAAATAATTAAAGACACAATACAAAAAGAAGTAGAAAATTCCAAGTTGGGAACTAAAGGAGGAAATAGAGAAAGTTTTGGGGAGAATGTTGGAAAGGAAGAGTGTGAAGTAAGGAAGATATCAGAACTAGAGAAAAATGTTCTTGGCGACACATCACAAAAAATTGGAGATACAAGGCAAAAGGAAATTGAAAATTCAAAGTTAAGGATTGAGGATGGAGGGGTAAAAGGAATGAGAGAAGAGGTTGGAAAAATAGAATACGAAGTAGTGAAAACATCAGAAACTATGAAAAAGGTAGGTGTAACTATCCCACAAAATAAAGATACAAATCAAGATGGAGTGTTTGAGTATCAAGAAATGGAGGACAATGAAGGTTTTGTAAAGGAGAAAAAAGGGATGAGTGAAAATAAGTTTGATGAGGTCAATACAAACATAATTGGAGAGGTGATCCAAAAAGAAATAGGAAAACCTAATTTAGAAATTGAGGATAAAGATGGAGAAAGTATGAAAGGAAATATAAGGAAAGTAGGATATAAAGGAGCAAAGACATCAGAAATAAAGCAAAACATAGGTGCAAATGTCACACAAAATATTGGAGATATGAGCCAAGGATTATCTAAAGAGCCTATTGTTGAACAAAGAGATGAGGCTAAAAGGACTATTGGGAAGATGGAGAGACAGGATTCTAAAGAGATGCTTGTTAAGGCTAATGTGTGTACCGAGGAAGAGACACTTAGAGACTCAAAACAAAAACAATTCAGAGAACCTAAGTTTGAAGTCAGTGATAGACTTAAAGAAGGTAGTATGGAACTAACAGAAATAATTAAGGCATCAAAACTTGACCAGAATGAAAATGATCAAATTCTGAGCAACATTGGTGGTATAAGTCAAGAAAAATATAAGAAGTCTACAATTCAAAAAAAGAAGAAAACTGGAAGCATAGAAGAGAATGTGGATGGAGGGAAATCTGAGAGGATTCTTGTTGAAGCCAGTAAGGACAACCAAAAACTCATGTCTGGAGATTGCATCCAAATGGATATGAAAAAGCCTAAGATTGAAACTAAGGATGTAGATCAAGAATGTGTAGGGGAGAAATTTGGTAAAAAAGAATTTGATTCAATGACAACGATAAAAGAAGGGTTTCCTGAGTTGTTACCAAAAGCTACAATTGAGGAAAGCAAAGGGTTGAGTGCTTCAAAAATGCAAGAAACTAAAGATATCAAAAACACAATGACCAAAAGAAAACCAAAAAATAATGAAAATTTTGTTGATAAAGATGATTGGGAAGAATCCAAAAGGATGGATAAGGAAGCAAAAAATGATATAACAATAAAAGAAAGACAAGAAAGTGAATATGTTAAAGAAGCAATGACTAAAAAAGAAAGAAAACAGATTCAATATTTTGTTGATGATGGTGAAAGAGAAGTACGCAAAAAGATGCATGTGGAAGCAATGAAAGACTTCAAAAAGGAGACAATAGAAGAAAATGAAGATTTCAAAGAATCTATGATTGAAAGTGAAGGTGAAGGTTCCAAAAGAATACATATAAAAGCAAAGAATGACTTTGCAAAAAATACAATGCAAGAAACTGAAGATGTCACAAAAGTAATGGTTAAGAGAAAATACAAAGAGATTGAAAATCTTGAGAATAAGGGTGAAGTTGAAGAATTGAAAAAGATGCATATGGAAGCAAAGGACACAGAAAAGGAGACAATGCAAGAAAGTAAAGAAGTCAAAGAAGCAATTGTCAAAAACAAAGGCAAAGAGATTGAACATTTTGTGAAAAAAGGTGAAGACGAGGAACTCATGAGCAAGCAAATGGAAGCTAAAAATGAATTAAAAAAAGTGATAATGCAAGAAAATGAACAAGTCAAAGAAGCATTGGTCAAAAGAAAAGGCAAAGAAAATAAATATTTATTAGATAAGGGTGAAGGAGAAGAATCCAAAAGAATGCATATAGAAGCAAAGAAGAACTTATCAAAAGAGATGAAGCAAAAAAGTGAAAATGTTAAAGAATCAATGGTCAAGAGAGAAGATAAAGAGATTGAATATTTTGTGGATACAAATAAAGGTGGAGAATCCAAAACAATGCATATGGAAGAAAAAAATTACTTAACAAAGGAGACAATGAAAGAAATTGAAGATGTTAAAGAAGCAATGGTCAAAAAGGAAGATAAAGAGATTAACTATTTGATGGAAAAGGGTGAAGGTGAAGAACCCAACATGATGCATATAGAAGCAAAAAAGGACTTTAAAATAAAGCCAATGCAAGAATTCAAAAAGGTGCATGTGGAAGCAAACAAGGACTTGGTAGAAGAGAAAATGCAAGAAAATGAAGATGTTAAAGAAGTGATGGTCAAGAGAAAAGGTAAGGAGACTAAATATTTTGTAGATACAAATAAAGGTGGAGAACCCAAAATGATGCACATAGGAGAAAAAAAAGACATAACAAAGAAGGCAATGGAAGAAAGTGAAGACGTTAAAGAAGCAATGGTCAAAAAAGATGATAAAGAGATTGACTATTTTTTGGAAAAGAGTGAAGGTCGAGAACCCAATATGATGCATATAGAAGCAAAAAAAGACTTAAAAATAAAGTTAATGCAAGAAAGTCATGCCAAAAATGCAATGATTGAAAGAAAAGACAAAGAGACCAATTGTCTTTTGGATGAGGATAAAGGTGAAAATTCTAAAAGGATGCACATGAAAACAAAGAAAGATTTGACAATAGAGAAGATGAGAGAAACTAAAGATGTCAAAGAAATAAAGGTCAAAAGAAAGGACAGAGAGATTAAAGATTTTGTAGAGAAAAATGAATGTGAAGAGCTTAGAAAGATGCTTATGGAAGAAAATAAGCAATTAACAAAAGACACAATACAAGAAAGTGGCGATGTCAAAGAAGCAATGGTCAAAAAAACAGGTGAAGAGATTGAATATTTTTTGGATAAGGATAAAGGGAAAGAATCCAATGAAATGTTGGAGGTGAAGAAAGACTTAACAACAAAATCAATGCAAGAAAGTGAAGGTGTCAAAGAAACAATGGTCAAACTAAAGGGAGTAGAGATTGAATATTCTTTGGATGAAGATGGTGAAGAACCCAAAAGGATACATAAGAAAGAAAAAGACTTAACAATAGAAAAAATGCAAGAAAATGAAGATGTCAAAGAAGTAATTGTGAAAAGAAAAAATGAAGTGACTGAAAATCTTTTGGATAAAGATGAAGATGAAAGACATAAAAGGATACTTAAAAACACTAAGGAAGAATTAATAAAAGAGGAACTGCAAAAACGTGAAGACTTCAAAGGTGCAGTGGTAAAACAGAAAGGCAAGGAGATTGAGTATTTTATGGAAAAGGGTGAAGGTGAAGAATCCAAAGGGATGCATATGGAAACAAATAAGGACTTAGAGAAAGTGATGATGCAAGAAAGTGAGCATGGCAAAGAAGTAATGATCAAAAGAAAAAACAAAGTGACTGAATATTTTGTGGATATGAGTAAAGATGAAGATCCCAAAAGAATGCATATGGAAGCAAATAGGGACTTAACAAAAGATACAATGCAAGAAAATGAAGATGTCAAAGAAGCAATACTCAAAAGTGAAGGTAAAAAGATTGAATATTTTCTTAATGATGATGGTGAAGTTGAAGAACCCAACAGAATGAAAATGAAAGTGAAGAAGGACTTAACAACAGAGACAATAGATAAAAATGATGTCAAAGAAGTAATGGTTAAAAGAAAAGAAAAAGACATTGACTATTTTTTAGATGAGGATAAAGGTGAAGAATATAAAATGGTTGATAGGAAAGCAAATAAGGACTCGATAACAGAGACAATGCAAGAAATTGAAGATATCAATGAAGTAATGGTCAAAAAGAGAAACAAAGAAATTGAAAATTTTGCATATAATGGTGATGATAAAGAATATAGAATGAGTATTGAAGCAATGAACTTAACAAACGAGACAATGCAAGAAAGTAAAGATGTCAAAGAAACAATGGTCAAAAAGAAAGACAATGAAATTGATTATTTTGTGGATAAAGGGGAAGGTGAAGAGATCAAAAGGACGCATAGAAAAGTAAAGAAAGACATAAGAAAAGATTCAATGCAAAAGGAAATTGAAAAGATTAAGATTGGAATTAAAGATAATGATCAAGAAAATGCACTGAAAAAAATTGATGAAGAAAAATTTGAAGCACCAATTAAAGTGTTACCTAAGTTGGTTATAGGGCAAGATGAAAGTAGTGGTCTTAAGGTTGCAGATATGGAAGAGCAAAGATGGATAACCAAAGAAGACATGGTTAAAACTGAAAGATTAAAGGAAAACATGCTAGGAGAAAAGTCTAAAAATATTGAAGAAGTGGACAATGTTATTGAAAAAAATATAGCAACTAGAATCTTACAAGAGGAAACTAAGGAGTCTAGCATTGAAAGAAAGTTCAAAGATGGACCATATATACCAGAAAATATGGTCAAATTAGTATTTGAAGTGTTAGGGACTTTCCAGGCAAAGCTTCCCAAGCAGGTGATGGAAGCAATTGCCCAAAATAAGAATGATGCAAATGAATATGTTATTGTGAAGTTGAAAGGAGAAGGATCAATAAAGATGCATGTTGAACCAAATGAGACTTTTGATGAGGAAGCATCTATGGACAAAATGGGGAAAGAAATTAGAAAGCCAAAACTTAGGTCAAGTGATCAAATAAGTGGAAAAGAGAATGTTAATGTTGGAGTATTTGATGAAAGTAAAATTGAAGGGCCTAAGGATAAAATTGTTAATAAAGATCAACATGAGCAAAGAGGTGTTGCAAATAGAATTGGAAAAGTAGACAATATAGAAAAGTACATGCTCCAAAAAGAAAATGTAACAAATGTTAGTCCTATTGCTCAAAAAATGGAAACAAAAAAAGACTTGAAAGCAACTCTTGAAAGAGAGAAATACATGATAGCTCAAAAGGTTAAAGATGAAAAGTTTGGGATACATGAAAAAAATATAAGAGATGATGTTGAAAAGTTTGATAAGGAGGGATATCAAATAAAGGTTGCAGATTGGATGTTAAAAGGAGAATATGTAGAAGAAGTTGTTCCTGAGAAAGAAAGAGATAAACAAAATGTTGCAAAGAGTGAAGAAGTTAAAGAGACTTTTAGACAACCACTCAAAAAAGATATGGCAAAAACAACTCAAGCAACAGAAGATAAGTCTAAAATGAAGGAAATAACTCAAGAATTTGAAAAACCTAGTGGTTTCAAACAAGTTGTAGAAAGAATGCATGAAAGTCACAAAGAAAAACATCAAAAAGACCCAAAAGAAGTCATTCCTAAAATAGAGGTGAAAGCTCCAACAATAACCACAAAGAAAGAAGTCCAGAAATCAAAGAAGGATGAGATGTCACATGTGCCTAAGGTAATTCAAAGAAAAGAGAGGGAAAAGGATGTTCATGCACCAGAAGCAACCATTTCTAAAAAAGAAGAGCTTGCACAAGCTACAACCATGCATTCAATAACAAAAGGTGACATTGACAAGCCACAAGTAACCCAACTTTTATCTTCATCTAGAGAAATGTGGAGCAAAGAACCACGTAAATTACATAAGCATGGTATGAAAGAATATGACTTAAAGGATGAGAGTTTAGTGCAAATGCAAGGGGGAAGAGAATCTATTCATTCAATAAAAGGTAGTGCAACATCAGAAGCAATTGCAAATGGAGTGGTGGAGCCATCCAAATTCTTTAGCTCATTTTCTACTCAACCATTTAAAGATGAAGAAAAGGACAAGATAAATACTAGTAGAGACCAAGATTCTCAAGATGTAGAAAATGATTCAAAAATAGATGGTCAAGAATCAACCAAAAGTAAAACAAACCAAGAAGTTGAGAAAAAAGAAACAATTCAACCAGAGCTCCCTGAAGATCAACAATTCATACATAAAGATCAAGAAGAAGAAAGACATGGAACACATGAAATTGAAGAAGAAAATGCCTTTGAGAAAGGAGATGGAGTAAATCAAGAAGAGTCTCAAGCGTTAATGGAGCAAAAAGAATGTGAAGAGGAAGCTACTAGAGGAAAGAAGAATAACCAAAAAAGGTCAAAGAAATTGTTTGTTTCAATGATCATAGCAGGATCAACCCTTCTTGGTTCTGGAATATTTCTCTTTATTCGGCATAGAAGAGCTAGAAAAGGGTAACTTTTTGTTCATTAAATTTTCTTTCCATATTTTTTCTATGAAGAAAAATTTATGTAGTGCACTTATTTTTGCTAACAATGCTAAGTGATACTTAAAGTGAGTTGAAGTTCACATTACTTATTAATTTTGAACTCATAGAAATTCAATGGAGAAGTGCATGCAATGACTTGTTTGTTCTATACATAGCAACATCTTTGTTCTTTTGGTAAGCAAACTTGTATGCATTGGTGTGTGACTTGGATCTTACCTTGTTTGATGCTACAAAAAAAGAAAAATATATTGGCATGAATAACCAACCTTACACCACTAATAGTGGTTCTTATTATAGCCCTAAAATGATCGGTAAAATTACCAATTAATTTATTTTTAAATTTAAATTCTTTTATTCATATTATAACACTTATCATTTTAAAAATCTTGGAAATGGTTTTTTTTTTATCAAAAATGTTATTTCCTTGTAAGAGGGAAGAGGATGTGTTATGAATTTTCTTTGTTAGTTGTTTTGCTAAAAGCAGTTGCTCATGCTATAATGAAAGGTTTGTATCCTATAACTATTTTGTTTCATGACCTCATTGTGTTTACAATAAGTATCTCATTTGCTTTTGGAAACTCTTAAAAACCATTTCTAGTGAATCAGATGTGACTTTTGATAATAACTATATTTCTTCGCTTTGTATGATCTAATTGAGCTTTATGTTGTCTATGTCGTGTGATAATAATTATGCTTTTCTTGTATAAAACAAAAATGTTAAGTGAATTGGGCACCTGGTGTTTTTATAGATTAAAGCATCATATTGCCTTGAAACATGTATTCTTATTTTATGTGTTGTAAATCTATAGTTAGAGTTGATGATCTTAACATTTTTTTTGTTTCTACATTTATCCTGTAGGTATTAAATGTAATGATATTATAGTGATGTAAAAACAAGTGCACTTGATAATCTTTTCATCTTTTAAATCTTTGTTACTCATTTAAGGTAATAAAAATATGAATAATTAGATGATGCATTTGGATCAATATATTGTCATAAGTTATTAATCTTTTTTATATGTGTGTATCAATTTAAAAAGCAAGCAATGGTGATGAATTACTGGTTTGAATAATATTTTATCTATATGATACTTCTATACTTAACCACAATACATTATTTTTAGATGTATGTGAATAAACTAATTGAATTATTTTGTGAATTTTTTATTAATTTGCTATAGTTGAAATTAGTTCACTCTTAACATTGGAGAAGTTTTTATCAATTGTTTTTAACTATGCTAGTGATAGTTGGGCTCTTCTATTATTTCCATGAGTATCCTTCTTGTCTTCCTTAAAATTTTTTTTCTTTTTCTTTTCTTTTCTTTTGAAAGAAATTGTATTGTTGAAAATTTATTGTTCTATTTTGTTCATTCTACATTTTGTTTTGTGTTAAAGACATGTTTTGACCTCTTTTAAGAAAAGGAAATAAAAAGGTAAAATGAATTCAACTTTTTTACATTTAACTTTTATAGATGTTATTTCATCTAAATTTTTTATAAAGTAAAGTGTATAAATTGATTTTAGCTTATGAGAGAAGTTAAATTCATTTTACCTTCTTAATTTTTTTTCCTATAAATTCTTATTAAAATAATTTATGAAAACATACCCTAATTAGAAAAATGGAAGGTCATTAATTGTTATGTATTCCATTAAACTTGAAAACATAACAATTACATCAAATTTCAATATTGGTCCTTTATATATGTCATTGTCCTTTGAATGTAGGATTTTGATATGATTCAAGCTATCAATAGAAGCATGACCAAGTGAGAATATTGTGTCTACTTCAACATATGTGCATTAGCTAAGTTGATAAGGTACCATGACTAAAATTTAAATAATTGATGTTGAGATGTTACCATTTAATCACACAAATATAGGATATACAAAGACTATCTCAAGTCAAAAATCCAAATCATTTTGTGGGTACACATATTGTTATATAAGAATACGAAATTGTAACTATAGTATATTTCTGTACATGGCTCATATTTTATATATTTGTTATGTAGATGCTAGAGCAACATGGAATAGAACAAAGGGGATGCAATACATTGAGCATATGGACAACACTTGCTCCTAATCTTGGCCCGCTTGTCTATGGGTTGTCGCTAAATGGATTAGGAGGCAAGAGAAGTAGTCCCACATGGTATGATACAAGGGTGATATTGTAATTATGTACCTTATTATATATGATCTAGCCCTATTTTCTAATGAATAATATAGACAACAATTATACTCCTGAGGATGAAGACACACTTATCGAACCTCATTAAACCATATTGTTTGTGTGTGTGTGTGTGCATGCATTTTATTCTACTAATTTAAAATTTAGTTGATATTACATTATATACACACATAAGTAGAGTTAGACAACTTGATCAAGGGTACCAAAGTTACAAAAGTTAAAATTTGGATGACAACCACAAAAATAAAATATATCTAAAAAAAAGGTATATGTCAATTTTCATACAACATATTTAAAGTTAATTATATGTTCAAAAACTTTACTTATATTAATTATTGATCTATATAAAAAAAATTGTTGCATGTTATGAAAAATGTCATAATGCTTTTATCATTTATAAAAAAAATCCATTATCATTGTATTGAGATTAAAGAAAATAAACAAAAACAAAATTAAAAAAAATATTATTACAATCCTTCTTTGAATTAAAGAAATAAAGTATCAAATAGTTTTCAATTTTTTTTTTAACTTACAAACTCAATCTATACATTAAGAAGTTTTAAAATTTAATGTATATCATGAGTTTTTGAGTGAAGTGAATGAATCTCTCCTCTTATATATATGTGTATGAGGGGGGGTTCACTATTAAATTACTTTTGAAAAATCAAATAAATAGAAGAATAAATGAAAATACATAAAATTATTTAAGATATTTCTGTCTATAATTTTTTTTATAATTTTTTGTTCAAATCAAATTTCCAAGGTTAGAAATTCTTACCCAAATTCTTTCTTTAATCTCACACTAATAAATCCCATTATATCAAGGGACTCAAATTATTTACCACTTGATTCCTTAGTATGATGACACTCAATTAATAGAATCAAAATTTTTAATTCCTTAATAATTAATTAAAATTTGAGTAAATTTAATATTATAGGTTTCTAAATAACTCAATCAACAATGCTCTCATCCTTGAGGTACATTTATCAATTTGTTATTCTATATAACATATCATATAATTTTAATCTCTCAATTGTCGAAATTCAAAAAATTTCGATCTTACCCATAGATGATTTAGACTTCATTTTGAAAATCTCATCGGCTTTGGAATGTCCTAAGACCGGACTAATTATCTACATGATTGTTGGTTTACCGCATGCGAATAGGGTTGTGAGTAAAGCAAATAAAGAGGAAAAGGAAAAAAGAGAGAATTAAAAACCTCCAAAGCAAGCTTTTATAGAAAAATCTTCAAGAATGTGTATAGGGGCACATTTTGGCAGCCTTTCGCTTTACAAAAGCCTCATAATCACTCTGAAATTTACTGAGAGAGAAGGGGAGTCAAATCTGACAGGTATTTGTGACAAGTGTGAGGTGTGTGGAAGAATAAGTCCTAGGCATGCTTATATAGGCGCTCAGGGAAAGGGAACGGTCGTTTCCAACACTGGAATGGTCGTTTCGCACCTCAGAGAAACACTAGATTAGTTAATTGGGAACGATCATTCCCAATTAGGGTTTATTTGCAAATTTTCAATTGGAAACAGCCATTTTGTGACACCTTCTACCCCACATACATAATTATACAATGAATAGAAATTAAAATCTTTCATAAATAAAACCAGAATCTCAATTATCATAAGTAGAGGGTTCACATTTGTAATTCATAAACAATAAATCCAAAATGGAAATTACAAAAGAAGGAAACTGAGATTTTCAAAACAGTTCAATGAAAATAGCATCCTAAATTAGTCCTAACTAAGCTCCGATGTCACATATCTTATTAGAGCATGCCCACTGAAGCCTAAGCCTCGTCATCAACATCCTCAAGCTGGTGATCATCTACAACATAAGGTCAACATACATAGAACAACTAGGGGAGTGAGAAACGTCTAACTCGGATTCAGGTGTAGAAATACAAGTTAGATAGTAACACACATAACAGTCATAACAAGCTCAATCCATACACAAATAATATCACATACACACACACTCATCATGTAATGATACCAAGGACTCAACTCATAAATGCATGCATGTGGTGCCATACAAAATTTGCACAGATATCATCACTTGCATGCTGATACAACAATACCTAGTGCACATATATCACTAGTGGCCTATAGCACACCTAGAATTTCACATGGATACACTGGTATATGGCCTCAATGACACACCTGGAATAGCTCATTACACTAGCATGTGGACTAAGTAGCACACATGGAGTCAGATATACATATGATGTTGTCACACATTTACTATTCATTGACTCAACATTTCATTTATCACATATTCTCATATCTCATATCACGTTATCTCATACTATCATGTCACAGGTCACACATTCACTTTTCACATTTTTACATCATATTTCCATAGTCTCATACAAGGAACTTCTCATAGCCATATACATCAAAATAGCACATAAACCATACTAGGAAATTATCCAACATCATACACATTCAATTCGCAATTCATAACATACGAAGCATAAAGGTCATAGACCCAACTTCATGATTTCACGCATTTTTTTTACAACCAGCCAGTTAATATAATATTTCAATCGATCAAACACTCCAAGTATTACCCAAAACACGAATCCATCATCAATTTTACATATAATGCCTCAAAATTAATCCAAAGATCATACCCCTAATTTCACTTCATAGGGTTTCCTTCAAGAACCCACAGAACACTCTAATTCATATTAAAACTAGTATATTTTTGAAATTAATCACATATTCACATTTAACAACCATTAAGGAACACAACAGAAAACTCAAACACGAAAATAAAAAACATTGAAAAAATCTCTATTTCTAAGAGCATGCATCAGGCAAGGGATTGGGGTCAATCTCGCTACCAAATTTATCCATTATTAAAATTGAACACATGTCCACACTCAGAATCACACAAGGAACACAACAAAATAATCAGAAAGTAAAATAGAAAACTTTCTTAAAGTGTCTGTTTCTATAGGCATACATCATGTAAGGGATTTGGGGTCAATCCGACTACCCTAGATATATCTCCACACCCTAAAGTGATATTTCTCACCCCCTTTTACCTTGATGAGTAGAGGACGAAGCACGAGCAGAATCTAGTTGGTCTTCTTCTTTGAGGTCTCCTTGTTCTTCAGAGAGTAAGAGAGAAAAAAAATGAGAGTCAAGAGATGGTTTATGTAAAAATGAATTAACTCCCTCATAACTTCTCCTAACCCCTCTTTCTTAATTAATAAATTAAAAAATAATAATAATATGCAATTTAATAAATATCCAGGATGTCATTCCTTCCCTCTTATAAAACAATTAATATAATTAAAATACAACTTTCACTTTTAATACATAATAGAAGCATCATAAGATAAAATACATTTCATAAAATTACTTTCATAATACTAATTAAAATTATAAATCCTGAAATCATGTCTCGTCATAAAAATATAACTTATATAACAAATTAAATAGTATCCAAAACTCTAAATAAATACATTAAAAATCAAAATAATTTTAAAAATATAATTTACGAAATCAAGGGTGTTACACATTCCACGCCCCGATTTAGGATTTCTTGTGAAATGGTGTTTTCTAGGCCTTTTGGGGCTTTGTTTCGGTCTGTTTCCGTCCCTTTCTAAGCCCTCAAGGGCCATTCTTCTCCTTCCAAAGGTTTTTCGTCCTCAATAGGGGTAACCTAGATGAGATTTGGTGTATACACCAATCAAAATGAGGCAAAATTTGTAGAAATAAACATAAGAGACAAAAATTTCATGCAGAGATGAATTAAGAGACCAATTTAGAATTTAGGTAGTTCATCATCCTACCTCTAACCAAAAAGAAAAATAGAATAAGAAAGAAAAACACATGATAAAAGGAAGAAAAAGTTTGAATTCATCCTTCCTATTTTATTTCTTTACCTACCAAAAATAGAGGATAAAAAAGGATTTTAGTGCTTATGCCAAAAAATATTTTGCTACTTTAAAGGAAGAGGAGTTCATTTTAGAATATAAGTTAAAATAATAACTATTTTTAATTTTTAAAAAAAATTAACAATTGTAAGTGAAATTTATTTTCTAAAGTCTAAATTGCACTTCCTCAACAACATGTCATTGGTTCGAGTAGAATTAAACAATTTTTTAAAATAATGTCTCCAATTCGATTCTTATGGATAAAAAAATGTGATCGAAATGATAAATCCTATTAAAGGGGGTCAATTGCAGCATTATGAATTTTGTTAATAATTATTGATTTTATTAATTTAATTTTGTTGCAATTAACTGTTTGATTGTTGTGAAACTCTAAGGATTTAGGAATGTTTATGAGTTTTTATTATTTAGGAGTTTTTTTAGTAGAAGTTAATTTGACTACTTATAGGAAAGTATATAAGATTTTCTTTAAGACTTAACTTTAGAAATCTAGAGAGAAACTCTATAGCCAAAATTTCTCCCTTTTTCTTCCAAATGCTCTAAAGTGTTGTAGGATCCCTTCCTTAAGAGATTTTGTTGTTGGTTGGTGATTTGAAACTTCAAAGTCGAGAATCAAAGGGTCATAGTTGACCTGCAGAGCTAGCTCGAGAGACTCCATTTTCTTCTTGTTCCTTTATTTTAGGCGATCGGAGGTAAAGGAAACTTATAATTTGAATTCTTGATGAATTTTATGAGTTATGTGCGACCTGATTTGCATTAATTGTGGCTAAGATGTCGTTGTTGAATGGTAAGAATCTTAGGTTAAGTTTCTTATGGGTTTTGGTGATAATGAGAAGAAATTGGTGTAGGTGAATCATTGTTGGTTTCATATTGGAAGTTATGTTGTATGAGTTGATTGTGTTGTATGGTTACATTTTTTGGCACTGCATATTACTTTGAACTGATTTTCAGGTAAAGAGACCACCAAACGTGATTCTACCAAGTGCATAAATCACCATTGTGTCAAGCGTAGGTTTCACTATGTCATGCATGTTTAACACAAGGGTTTTTTGTCTCATTCACATTGGGTGCAAATGGATTGGAGCCGAGCACGAACGAGCCAGAGGCTCTCTACCTCAATGATGCCAAGTGCGGGGAGAATGACATCAGGCATGGCTTTTTGAATGAAAATGTGTTTAACATATTGAATTCCTCACGTGATTTATGCTATTATGAGATTCTAGT